TTTCCCCGCCACGCAGAAACTCCCCGTCACGAAGATCGATCGTCGATTCGATCGGCGATCGCCCACATTCTCGCCAGTGAGAGAGACTAGTGCAATCGCGTGCACGCGAGACTCTTCTGGTGAAAGAATCGTCGATTTTCACTGCGTGCCATTCAAACGGGTAACTCGAGACAGAAAAGGAAGACAAGCAATCGACGGGTAATCGGCGTTTTAATTTTGTCCGATTTCCATTGATTTGCAATTGTCGTTCATCTCGGCCGTTCGAATATTAGAAATCGACGGTGCACAGCTGCTCGGTCGACTATCTCGGTTCGCGAAAGCGTAGATAAGTCACCACTTCGCCAAAAAAGACATACGTATGTTCATACGCGAGCACGCATGTCTGTGGCAACTGATTAAATTAATTTCACCCGGTCGTACCGAGGCGCGGGTACGTTCGGTCGAAGCGCCAATGAAGGGATCGCCGGGTGACCCATATATCCTAACATCGTTCCGCAACGTGCTGACAGAGAGCCGCGGTAAGAAAAAGTCCAGTTATCTCGGTACCGATATGTTAATTCAAAAGTAATAAGACATTTAGCGAGGCCTCCTTCTCCCGATCCGATCCGGTCTTGCGAGCCGGACGAACGATGACTCGGTCAGGTGAAGGCAGACGAATTTTAAATGGTGAAAGTCCAGCCGGAGAGCGATCGCGACCGAAAAAAATTCGCGTTGTCCCATCGCGGCGGCATTTTTGCGCGGCAACGTGAGAGAATTACTCGGGAACGAGGATTGTGTTTTGCCGACGGTCGCAATCCGGCGATAATTTGTCGAAATTTACGGCTTCGCAATATATCCCGCCTAAGATCTTCGCGCGATGATGCATTCGACGTGATATTTCACGACGTGTCGTGAGAGATATTGCGTTCCGCGTCCAATTTCCGAGATCTTTTGCAATAATCGATGATTCCCGGTAAACGTAAGTAAAATATTTATATTTTTAACTTGTAAAATTGAATTGATTATATATATTAATAATCCATTATAATACTATTGAATTAGTGCAAAAGATTCGTTATATTTATAAAACAAAGCTAAACAAAATTTCAGCGGAATCGAATGAAATTGCCGCCGCGAACTTCAATAAATTCTTTTTTATTTACAAAAAAAATTTTTAATTCCTCTTTTCTAAAAAAAAACTTCGATTTTCTAACTTTATCTAATACAAAGTCTGAAGAACCGGCAAATCTTCTGCATCAAGCTAATAATAAACGTAGTCTTTTAACAGGCAATGTATTAGCAATGATAAATTGATCAGGTAAAATCTACGTCGCGCTATTGAATACTCTTCCGATTTCTTCGCCGGTTGGACGTTTTCAAGCAATATGCAAAATAATGGTATGTAATTAGACGGAAACGAAGCTGCGCTGGCGCCATACGCCGTGTATCAAACACTTGTTCGCCGCGGTTCAGAAGCCGCGGAACGGAGTCCGCGAGACATTCGCGATTCACGGGACGGTCCTCGCGCACATGCACGTGCAGCTACAGGTGCAGTCTCGTGACGTCAGTGTTCATTGTTCGCCGTTCTGCGAGCGCGGCCCGCGGATCCTATACGTGCGGTGCAATGACTGCACGCCGCTTTTACGAGCCTTTCTTCGCCGAGCCGAGGTGTTCTTTTTCGGACGGACGAACGAACGGTCTTGCTCCTCTCTGCCTCTCTGGTGCCTGGAGCGACGTTGCAGAAATGCACGGAACATGCAACGACGCGACGGTTAAGACCAATGCATAGATCGAATACGGCGGTGCCATTATGCCCCCTTTAAGTACCTCAGGAACGACAAGGGTCTCGAAATTTATTATTGTACGCCATATGAGCAATCTTGCAAAATTCCTTTGAGCGTTTAATTTTTAACGCTATATATATTTCTATTGGCGTTTACAGAATTCTGATACTAATTAAATTCGATATCTAGCACGACCTTGCTAGGAAACATTTAATTACCGCGCGAGATCTTGTTTCCTCGGGAGAGTCGAAGCCGGCGCTCGGCGGTTCGGTCTCGCGTAAACAAGTATATGCATTATTGCATTCAATATCGCGATATCGTAACGGGAAACATTCCCTGCTTTCGACCGCAAGGAAAGCCCGCGGTCCGTATGAACCGAGGTGTAAAACTTTTACCGCGGCGCGCGAGCTCTGCAACCGTAACGCGTTTCAGGAGAAAGAAATTCGTCAGTGCGCTCGTCGGAGGCCCGGCGGCCAGCATCCACGGAGTTCCGGGACACGGCTCCTGGGATGCATTGTAGTGTGTGCGCGCGCGTTTGCAGCCGGTTCGACTACATTTCGTGACGGTGCACGCACCCTCTCGCATCGCGCATACACAACGCGAGCATACACACACACACACACACACACACAACGGTATAATAAACACGTTCCACACGCATGCACACAATACAGAGACGTTCGAGAGGTCCCCGAATCTCTCTCGAGTGGGCCCGACACGAGGGGCCCGCAACCAGGCAGAGTCCATATGCAAAACACATGCGGAAAGCGATTGGCTCGCCGGCGCGGCGGAGACCCGTGTAACGAGCTGCGGCGGTCCATCTCTTGATACGACGCCGGGCTTCGCATTTTACTTCGTCGCATGTCGTTATCGAGCGATTAATTCGGGCCCGCGCACACTTTGTACGCCGACATCCCCGGCGGGAGGAGGAGGATAATGGGCCGCGATATAGAAAATTGCGCGAAATGGAGATTAATCGCGCGCCCGTAGTTTCGCACAATCTTCGTTCAGTCCGTTGAGCATGACGCTTGTTTTCTGCGTCCTGTTTACGCGGATCGAAGACGAGGAAAGAGGAGAAGAAAGGAGGGAGAGAGATCACGAACTCGCGGCGCTAGATTACCCTCGGTGACATCACATCGTGATGAAAATAAAATATCACCGCTGATTAGGATTCTTAAAGACATAATTTTTAAATATCACATTTCAAAATCGTGTTAATACCTCAAACATGTTTTACACAATATTAAAAACAAGGCAAAGAAATATACGTTTTAAATATTTATATCTGTCTCTCTCTGTTATTTTTAAAATTTTATTAAACTATTAACAATAGTTACGTTTAAAAAACTCCAATTCTTTTGTTCTGCCGTTTACATGTTACGCGATCGTGACCTACAATTGTCTTAACTCGTAAATTAGTTAAATTAGCCATTACTCTCTATTACTTCTCCGGCTAACAGGTCTGTATTCCCTTCTCCCATTAACGAGACGCTGCGTGAGATTGGATTCCTACGGGAATCCTTTTGCGGTACGAAGAACCGCAGGATGTTGAAGCGTAATCGAGATTCCAGCATGGATACAACCACCCACGTACGAACGTGTTCGTTCTCGGCATTAGGCTAACGTGATTTGATCTCCGACGATGTACACGCACATACGTACGTCCATCCGTCCGTCCGTCCGTTCGTTCATTCGTCTGCTCGCCCTAACGTTCCCTTCTCGGACACGCCTGGAATCACAATTTCAAATACTCCAGCGAATAGCGTAACCTACGCGCGGAATAGCTGAGAGTCTTCTTTCGGAGTAAAATTGAAGGTGCTTTATAACGATAAATCGGCGACCGGTACATCACGCGTAATACATACCTGCAGCTATTAATCGATAATTTTCGTCAGGTATTTCGTACATACAACGGAACGTCGCGCCATATGGTGAGCGGTAAAATGTATACGTTAAACCTTTAAACATAATTACATATCTTTGATCACTTTAAAATAAGGCTAACTTAAAAAAACGTACCAGCTGTGTACACAATCGTGACCTATTTTCGAGAACTTGAAAGAAAAGTGTGAGGATTTATTAATTCTTGTGACCAATATGATTTGGTGACGAGTATTCTTCTTTCCCGGAAGGAGACGACAATTTCATCCGGATGACGTTAAGAACAGTAAAATCACAGAAAGATTATTTATATTGCGACCGGCAGTACGTGTAGCATTAACTGACCGTTTGAGAGAACAAATTGCGACGATGTTTGTGATATCGTGCGCATATCGTATTTCTGCCACTAGGTACGGAGAGCAGATACGGAGCGTTTATGAATCGTAGCGCCTGGCGACTGCACCGCGCATTCAAATCATCGGTCAGTGCTCCGCTTAGCTATCTACCTCCGTAGCGAGCCGGGGTTCGCGTTGCACTTTTGTGCCGCGGAAATATTAACGTAAATGTTGCGGAGACTCCTGCACACGTCCTGCGCCGAGGATCGCAATTACGTGTATTATCATGTTCTTGCGATTAGCTGCAGGCGATAATCACATGGGCGTAATGTCGCCTTCGGTTAAAAATATATTTATAGAAATTCTACAATTGTTCAGATAAGTAGGTACAATGTAAGATTCTGTAAATTGAGATTTCGTGAATCAAGATTCTAATCGTCATGTAAATCAATTGCTCTTGATAATTTTAATATTATTGGCCTTTCGATATCTCCCGTTTTATTACATCTCGTAAAAAGTGAATGGCACCGACGGACATATGTTTAAAACAATTTAATAATGTCGTAAAGATGCTGTAACTAGGCAGGTTTGTAATACCTCCGCAAATAAATGGATTTGTTACGTAATGTATATATAAATTTATTCTTTATCTCGCATTTTTAAAAAGTGGAACGGTAATTCATATAATCATGTAAAGCAACATTTTCATCGATACTCAAATCACACACTTTTAATGTTCTCGTCATTTTTATACCTGTTCAAGCTTGCTTGCATTATCATCGCAAATTTTAAACATTGTTGTCTCAACAAAAGACTAACACTGTTTTTCAAATTTGTTAATTTATTAAATGTTTCTTTCCATTTACAAGTTGTAAAAAAAATAAAAGATTTAGTTTCCTTTTCTAATTAAAATATTTTGAGGAATATTTGTTACATAATTATAGTTTTACAAAGTGTTCCGTAGTACTTGTATTTTTCAGAATCAAGAGAGAAAAATTCCTTTATGCAATTAGCAACTCACCCTGACCGGCGTTCCTAGATCCCCATGGCACAGTGCACACCGGTAAACACGAATAATTTCTTTTTCTTTCTCTCTTTCGTCACTGGTAACGTACCGAAATCCCAAAATCCCGCGCGCACGTTTCACTCGCGTACGAACCGCGGGAGAAAAAAAGAAAAAAAGGAAAAACGGAAGACAGAGAGATACAAATGAAAAAGAGGATCGGAACAAGTACTCGCGGAGGGCGGAAATTCACGAGCCGCTGTGAGAAACGCGGACGAACTGCTCGTTTCCTCGGCAACTTCCCCTACGACAGAAACGGACTTTGAGTCTCCGGAGTCGGGCCCCTCGGTCTCGGTGCAAAGGACCCACGGGTCTTTGCGCTTGCGCATCAGGGCCCCTCTACCGGTTGACAGGGCGAAAGGTGGGAGGAACGACCGGCAACCCCCTTTCCGCGGACCTGCTCCTTTTCGCGGGCTGCTTGCCGTGCACGACTGCACGTGTGCGTGAGTATTATGTTTGCCTTTATCTGTGGGTGTTGGGTGTACCTGTTCAGGTGGCAGCACCTCGCCTGATGGGTGCACCTGATGGTAGGTCGAGGAACGAGAGAAGCAAGGTGTATTTTGGTACCTGCGGACCTGCCTATCTATCTACATGACAGCCGATACCGATACTTATTTACGATCTGTTTATCCTCTTTCTTTGCTCTGAAAGAAAAATGTCCTTTTTGTAACTAATTAAATATCTAAATAGATACTTTTTTTTTGCAAGTCGATAGACAAAAAACTGATTTTAAAGGAGTTCTAAGAGGACTTGTAAAAAGATCAAATTCTACGGTGTATGCAGACGAAGTATTAATTTAAGAATGACTGAATTCCGGACACACTTCCCCCGATTACGTCAAAGGGGAGCGATTATTATATAACTGCGTTAATTGCATTTGCGTTGCCCTCGACCGTGTGTTGTTCCTTCCGGTTGAATTTCTTGCATTCAACCAGCCGGGACAAGATCCCTAGGAATTCGCGACGTAACGCCTTATGTCTCGTCGTTGGGAATCGTTGGGGGGAAAGGGAACGTTGAGGGGTGTCGGAGGAAGGAAAGCTAGTGCTTCGGCGGACACTTGGATGCACACCGGTGAGCAACACGCCGTATGCGTTAATAATTCCCTCGTCTTCCTTTCGTTCCTACACTTCACTTTCGCGCCCGGCTGTGTTTGAAGAGGGTAAGACGAAGACTCTCAAATTCTCCGAGTCTCTCTCTCTCTCTCTCTCTCTCTATTCTCTTTCACTGCTTCCTTCCGCTCGTACGTCACAAAGCGCCTTTTGCATCTTTTCTTTACTTTACAAGACTGCTCGGTTTCACGAAGATGAAAGCATAATTTTTTATACGAATAATGTTAATATTCGATCGACGTAAACATCAGTGACTCTCTTATATTTAAAAAAAATTGTATATTTTTTTGTAACTTATTTTACTTTAATTTACTTGACGTATATACATTTGACGTGTTTCACGCAGAACGTTAAAAAAACAAAGTAATTTTGATATTCCTATCGTCGATCTTGCATACAACAATCACATAGCGCGATAGGCAGTCGTTAGCACAGCGTGAAGTACCGAATAGAGTTTTGCTAGCACGTTGTAGAAATAGCAGAATCATTTACCGACAGATCGATGCACACGAGTGAGCACGGCGATCTGTGGAATACGAAATAGTTACGGAAACAGTAGTTAGCTCTAGGTATTACATTCTCGCGCAGATGCAGCAAAACTAGTTAGAAGGATGCTTGAATTCTCGCTTGGAGGGTACTTGAATTTCTCGCAAGAAACTTCGAACATGAAGGTGCGACAAGTAAAATTAAAAATTTGAAAAAAATTCTGCACGTATTTGTTACGCATACGATTTTTAAAAATCGCGTGCGTTTAATCTAAAATCGCGTGCCATTAATTTAAAAACGTATGCGATTTTTAAAAATTACGTGCGGTTCTTTTAAAATCGCAATCTATTTCTTGTCAGGTAAAATGCAAATGTGTCATATTTCGTGATAGAAGTGGAACTTCGACTTTAGAGCCAGTTATAGAAGAAGGTCATTTAAGTTTCTAAATATCTTAAAATGATGATCGAATACGTTAATAATGTGTCCTTTCTCGGAACCGCGACACTATCTGCTATTTAATATTTGAGTTATGAATCATCGACGCACACATTCGCACGTGCGGAGTTCACGGAACGTGCCTTTTTTTCGCATTGTTATACATCCACCGACAGGAGCGAGAAAAGAGACAGTCACGCATACATTGTTAAAGAATTCGTACACGTGCGTGGGCGTGTCACGTATGCGTGAACAGCTTGGAATTCAAATCGAGCGCAGGAAAGAACTATACGTTCGTCAGGTACGACGGCGTACGGAAACCCGGCACGGTTGTTAAAGGCAATGAGAGACGTATGAAAGTGAATTTCACGAAGAAGAGAGGAAAGGATGCGCATCTCTGTACGGAATGCATTAGCTTCTAATACTTACGACGTGAATAGATCGCCACGGGAAAGAGAGAAATATTATACGCGACTATTAAGATGAGAAATATTATTATATATACGTAATATTTTATACTACGTTAATACCGAATAGAAAGTTTTCTCTCTCTTTTAAAGAAATTCAAAGTTTTATGTTGTAAAAATCAAAAATTCTTTGAAAACAAGATATGTTTTCTCTTGCTTTCTGTCGTCTGTCAGGTAACTTCATTATTCTGCCCTCGTTAGATGACATAAATAACGTTCATAGAATTGAGGAAATTAATTGGGAATTATATTTTAAATGAAAACAATTTTATTACAGACTTATAACGTTACAATTGCTAATTAATGTGTATTTACCCTTTATTTTCTTTTATTTTTATTTATTTTTATATATAAAATTATCTTACAATGAATCATACGATATATTGTTAAAAAAAAATCCCTCACATACACAGAGACATATGTATAATGCATGAGTGACAATTATTTAGTGGTAAAATAGCAATATTAATTAAAACGGTATATATACAATTTCGTTACTTGGTTCCCTCGATTCTCTTTCGTGTGAACAGTTGCAATAATGATTGGCAATAATCGCACAACGAGCTTGTTACGAAAGTCATTTGCACGTGATATCGACGACACCATTAACACCCACAACGTCCGTTACCTTTTCCGTTGGCGCTCGAACCTAGAATTATGCGATTATGCCGTTGCAAGTACAGGTTTGTGCAACGGTATAATTGCATAATTCTAGATTCAAGCTCCATCAATTGATCGGCCACGTTTTCCGATGCTGTAAAGTACAACAAGGTATTCGATATGGATGCCATTTTACTACATTTTAGAACAGTTAATTTTATAGCAAGATGGTTACACTATACTCTTCGCTGCTAACATTAATATAGTATCATATAAAATGAAGAATCTTTATTAGCTATTACGTGATCGTGATGCGGGTCATACGGGCAGTATTTCTGCTTTAAGAAGCTAACGCCATTCAACGATCACTGTAAGCCGTATTGATAAAATGTATGTGTGTCGGGAACGAAGAATAAAATCTAACAAGTGTATCGCTAGAATACGATAGTGTTATATGTGCTACTTGCAACGTGCAGACTTCGTGAATAATGGAACTCGATTTCTGCTCGAGTGTGCGTGCGTAAAACATTATTATTGCAATAGTAATAGAATCGAAGTCGAATCGAGAGCTTAACAGAATGAATACGTTGTAGTGTGAGTGCGTTAAGTAAACCGTGATAAAGCGATCGGTGATAATGCATTCTCTCGTGAATACTGCTTGAAGCGTTTTATGCATCTGAGTATGTCTCGTTCAACTCCCTGCGTTTCTTCGAGGTTGGTTGTTTCAACCCCTAATTGCTGTAACTTTTTGCATATGCAATCTTCAAAATCTTAGAAGAGATCGATCGAGTGTACTGAAAAATCACGATTTACGTATATCACTCTAAAATTACATTTGCATTTAATTACATATTACATTCGTCTATCAATCTAATTACTTTTGTAATCTTCTCGTATTGTAAAACTTACTTTACGATTAAAAAGTTAAGATAGCGAAAGAATGAAACTCGCCTATTTATATTAGAGTTAAACCATTGATTCGCGAGAAAACTTTTTATTATTATCATTATAATAATTATCATAATAATCCTACTCGCTATGATAATAATTCGCCATAACTCAGCATAGTTGTAACACATTACATGGCATCAAAAGTTATACACATGTATGTGTTGTATAAAATTTGCGTTGCTTTCGATGCTCTAGATCAAATTAAGTCTAATTATACTGTGTTAATAGCACAGCATGCTCTTAATTTTAATAGACGTGCTTAAAGTTATTCTTTTTTTTATTGTCAATTTTCTTTTGTATCACTCTCATCACGATATTATTGTAAGCTCAAATGGGTTTTATAAAAATATTTATGATATATTCCATCATAGAAAGGCATTATCATTTCCAAGTTTAAATTCGTTAGCTCACCGGTAAAGTGAATAGTGAGACATTAACTTCTGGCAGATATTCTTTTAGAATAAGAAATCGTTTCCTGTGTTTTCGCTCACATAGGAAATATCACGGAAACTGAATTTTCTCGATGATGGGAGACAGAGAGTGAACGATGGAAAGTAGAGCGGTAGAATCCTGTATCCTACTTTTGTTGCTGTTTCTGACACGATGCTGCACGTTCGTTATCATGTCGTGAGCTCCAGATAACGTTTGTTTTCTATAGAGCCATAGCTGTGGGAGTACCGGCCGCTGTACGACGCCCTGGACCACGCACCGGCTCTGTTCGAATAACTGTTACACACGATCAGCGAATTCATGCCGCCGGCACCGGGCCTGTCGATCGGCACACCCTCGCCCCGTCCGTTCTGATGCAGACTGCCGCTTAATCGGCCGCTCTCCATCAGCGGTGCCCTGATATCTTCGGCCGCGCCGACGTCGGTGTACGGCTTGGGTGCACGACCGCAACTGCTCAGGAACACCGCGGCTATCACGCCCTGCGAAAAAATCGCAAGCTTTATTTACGACTCAGACAATGTCGAATAATTATATTGTTTAAGAAATTCGAATTCGAGATGTTCGCGCAGTTTACAGATAATTGAACTGTTGATTGATTTTTGAAATCCAAAAGTTCGATTTTTTGAAGAGAATTTAGTTTTAACTTGATTCTATTTTTAGAAGGAAAAGTATTGCATTGGGCTATGATGTTTCTTTTTAGATAGCTCAGATTTAAACTAAAGTTAATTTTATTAATCGAAAGATACAGATTGATACGTGAAAACGAATCAGACGTACCACTAACATGTGAAGTAACACGATAAACATGGAGCTATTTCTAAAACCGATGTGGTCCAGCAGAATTCCAGCGATGCTGGGACCGATAAAAGCTCCGAGGGCGAAGGTACTTGTCCACAAACCACTGATGAGGCCGTAGGTATCCAGACTATTCGGAAATCCATACGATCTGGACATGGAACACGGACAGGCGACATTGTCAAAAGCATTGTCGATTTGTACAATGTTAGAAATTCGTCAATTACGTAACATAAACCGTAATCGACTTGCGAATTGTGCGCAAATAACAGAGATGTTTATATGTTCAGAATTATTCTTGTGCGACTTACATAGATGTCCGCAAGGCATCCGTGAAGCTTGCAACCAGTTGAGCAGCCATGCCTAAGCCGTGGATCACAAGGCCGGTGATAGGCATCCAGATTACGGTGGGCGACGGAATGAACGGCGCTGGACCGACCAGCGAGAAACCGATCATTACGAGAAAGCAGCCGGCAATGGTTGCTACCTGAAGAGCATCATGTTTTTTTTGCGCTGATACATATTTACGTGATATGTCTTAAATCTGATACAATCCGCCTTGGGGGCGGAATTACTTGTGATATAATTTAAGGGGGTAATTCAATTGAAAGTTGGAATTTTATGTAGAATCGTGATAATCTTTTTTTTCTGTATCTGATGTATTGTACAAGATTACCTTTGGATGCCAGTAACTGTCACAAAGCCAGCCCCATACTGGCGCGGTAATCGCGTAAGTGCCACCGTTAATGACAAACATTAATCCGAGCACGACTGGACTTAAGTTGAATTGCCTCAGATGTGGTTCTAGCGTTGCTTGCAAAAATCCGATGCTCATGCTCGTTGCGATTATCGACATGCATGCGACCATCACGCCGGGGACTTTCACAACTTTCATTAGTCCTGTAAATCATATCATATCACATCGCGTGTAAAATCACGATTATATGGTTTAAATGACCGTTTAAATGAACAGCACCTCCAGTGTTGTGCGATTCATTATCGCTAGCGTTATGCACAGGTAGAATAAATGCAGTGCTGACAGCTGCCAAGAACAACGCCGAGCCAAGGACCGCGAATGGTGTGGTATATCCGCCTATCTAATTTTACCAATCATGTGGTATTAATAATGCGTATTATCGTTACTGATCTAGATAAAATTATCGCGTGTGCAGTCAACGTGTTGCTTTGCGAATATGTATGTACAACGTAGATATCTGCATACGAAATGTATAAGAGAGAGGAATTAAGAGAATACCACTTATTAGAACATATTACCTGATAGAGTGCGCCTCCAACAGTGGGACCTACGATAAGGCCCAAGCCGAAGAAAGTTTCCAAACTGGCGAACGTCGTGGCAACATTATTGGGAAATTCTTTGGCGATAATGGCAAAGCTAGCTGTTAGAAATGCAGCATTTCCCATTGCCTCCACAATCCTGATCACGAAAGATAGGATTATGAAGGGGTAATGACCATCGACTTTGTCCAATAAACCGAAGAATATGGCGCAAGTTCCTGTAGTCAGGATACCGCCATTGAATAGTAACTTTGGACCGATTCGATTGAGCTGCAAAAAACAATAAATTAAATTAAAATTTACGATAAATGATAATTTCTTTTAATATTTCCGTTAAGAAAAAAATGACTTTTATTAAAAGTGCACGAGAAGTAAGATATCTTATAAATGTTTATTTTTATATATAAAATGAAGTATTCTTGTATATATTTCATACAATACAATTTTAAATTCTAAAAATTTTACAAGTAACAGTTATATATATAACTTTTTAGGATCTTTTTTATATCTTGATTAAAAACTGAATATGGGAAAAATTTTGTATAAATGTTTTAAAGTACAATTTTTTTCGTTGCAAGTAATTGCAAACTTTTAATTATTTTCTTTATAGTAAAACGTGGCTGTGAAAAATTATAACATCGAGTACTACTTTAGGAATTTTGCACACGGTAATCGGCGAGTCTGAGTAATGGCAAGTTTCGACGCTTCGTGTTGCAACCATAATTATTATATAGGTTCACTTGCGATCCGAATTTCATGAACTTACAAAAACAGCACTCTATATATTTTCATCATTTTTCTTATTATTTCGTAATACTCAATTATTACACAGGCTCACTTGCGATACGAATTCCATAAACTTACAAAATTTACAGTACTCTGTATATTTTCATCATTTTTCTTATTATTTCGTAATACTCATTTTTTCGATATTTTATCTGCAGCGATAGCCATATTATTCGTGACAGATATTTTAGCGCAGATTAGATACTTAGGACGTTGATGAATGAGAATGATTTACGACTTTACCGAAAAAATAATCTTCCAGATTATAGACGGACGGAATTTTATTACTTAACTTTATCTATTTAATGTAACGAATTGACTCGTGGCATAAGGTTCGTGTTATGTCCTTGAAAATGCATTTTATGTATTAATTGCTAATTATGTCATCACTCACATGTTGTCCGTATAATGGGCTAACCAGAAAAACTACCAATTCGAAAATTCCAAAAACAAGTCCATATTCCGATGGCGATGCTCCTTTTTTCTCGGCCTGTGGAAAAGAAATGTCCATGTCAATGTACGTTTACATACGCATATGCGTTGTTACGTGTGTTAATTCGCCAATATTTCGAGTCGTTCGAAATATTGGCAATTCGACGGCACACTGAACTACGCAACAGCTCCGTCGATTATCGCGTCGCACTGCAATTAATGCTCGTCGAGATAATATCCCGATAAACTTTGGAGCTTTGCTCCACGCGACGAGACTACAAACCGAATTATCGAATGTCGCCGTTTGTCCCGCGATAGACAGACAACATCCTTGGGCACGTGCTCCATCCGTGGACACGCATTTGACATGTTCTCTTTTTTGGAAAATGCGTTTATTCAAATTTCGAAAAAGAGTTATTAATCTCCTTGCTTATTACGATTTATAATCAAACTTTAATATAATATCGTCTTTTTTTTTATTTTATAGCAATGCATGCTTGCCGTCATGCATTCCGTATTATTAAGAGATTTAAAAGAGAAATTAGAGAAAGAGACAAAGAGTTGAAAAAAAAATGGCAAAAGAATTAAACGGGAGGTTTGGGCAATATTATATTATGCAACGTGGAAACAAATTACGATATAGGCGTGTTTGTTGATAGGTCTCCTAACTCGCTGCTTAATTATCGGTTTGTAACAAGATAAGTACGTAGTGCGTTTTATTTAACTGCAGAGTAGCAAATAGATTCTGACGTGTATTAACGCACGCAATCCGATAAAAACTGCTTTCTAGTAAACTTCCGCTTCTTCTTATGCAAAAAGACATTATATGATGTATTGCAATCTTACATTTTCTTAATAGTTTGATTTATTTTCGCGTGCGCTTTTCGCGATAGAGATTCTATTAAGAAAGAAATTAATCGAACCTGCCAGACTCTTCGACCTTATCGAGAAGATTTCTTCCACAAACATTAACCTTTGCACTCTCGAAGGAATGATCTGAACTCGGATTACTCGACGCCTCCGAAGGCACTTTAAATGTTATATGAGAAAATGTCTTAATATTTCATTAACTACAACTTTTATCAATTATTTTATTAAATCTAATACTTTAATAAGTCTATTTAAAATGTAATAAAATATATATTTTAAATAATATTTATATATCTCATATTATGTTATAATTTACATATTTTTATCATTAGGATTTTTATACATTATCGGTCAATAAATGAAACGTAATGAAGAAAAAATCGTGGAAAATAAAAAATAATGCGATAGTGATTGAAAATACTACATATGCTTGAGGAAAGTTCGATTCAAAGCATGCGAAGAGTATCCACATTTAATATTAAATAAAACTCTGCAGTTACATGCTCTGTTAAAGATAAATATTGGGACGTTGTTATTCATATAAAATCTCTTTCTGTATTTTTAAACCCAAAATAAATAAATAGGTATTTAAGTGTTCTATTTCTGGTGACTCACTGCATACGATACAAGGACAGTAAGACAATACTGAGACTATGGTTTTGTAAACACTTCGATCACTGTGTTTGAAATTCGTTGACGACAATTTAAACTGAAATTTTTTTTAATTTTGCAAAGTAAATTTATGTTTAGTGGCACCATAAGTCGATCATTATCGTCATATGTTATGTCTATGAACGTGTGTAACTCAAACATCGCTATCATTTGAAATTGCGTGAGAGAAAATCAAACGACCTTTCCGGGCGATGTTTAGACGCGTAGAAATTAAAGTAGCAAGATTAGCACCAATTTCCGCTTGTACGCTTCACGTACGCGATTTCCTATATACTATTAGAAGAATTTGTGATCCTTACCTCTTGAGGATAGAACGGTGCTTGCAGCGAGACGCAGATGGCATTTGCGAAATCGGCGATGCTGATTACTATCAGGGTGAGCCATTGTCGTTTGGTGAACTTAGCCATAATTCCGACACTTCTCTAATCTTTCACACCCGTGCGAATTTTGTGCGCCGCGACACAAGGCCCAGATGCACTGACTTCGACCGATGAAGAAGATCGGGGATGAGAAATTCGGAATTTACATCAGGAGCGGCCAGAACGGTCGAGCCGATTGATAGACTACTTTGCTTTTCACTCTTACGGTAAATAGTACATATTTAGTTTACGATACTTATACATAGTATCTCGTTCTGTCCCGTCTCATCTGATCCGCGCGCGCACGTGTTTACTACGTGCGTGGCCGAGCGTCGTTGCCGCACTACGCAAGACGCGTTGTTCACTTTTAAGGACTTTGCAAGAAGACCGGGAGAAGAGGGTCGGAGGTCGAATGATATGTCCTACCACGGCTCTAATTTCATTATCGGCCAACGCGCTGCCAAGCGTCTCGCGAGCGTGTTACAGGGCGTGAATCTACGAGCGACCGTAGGAGGAGCGGAGAGCGGAGCCGACTTTACTCCGTTTGGAACACCCCATTTATCTATGTTTTCCTACAATCGCTTGTACATGTTCCTGCCCCCTAAATATGATGCCATCCGACAAAGAAATTACATTTTTTCTCTAAACAATTCGATAACATCGAAGACTTGAACATTTTATGAATCATTAAACGGGAGCATTACTTCATTATTTCTTGAATTGCATATGTCGTTTTGTAAAGTTAAAATTTATTTATTTCGAGGTAGACATATTTATTTATTTTGTTGAAGAGTAATTAAAATGTGATAATTCTTAATACTTACGCTTTACTAAATATATCTATTTTATACAGTTTCGTATTCGTAATTCTATTTCTATCTTATATTTCTATATGATGATAAATCTTACGATATGATTAATCGCAACGCAATAAAGTAATAAAAAAGAAATTAAACACTTATAATACAACTACAATATCCTAATAAATGAATATCATATCAGTTTATCAGTTAACGACGAAATTTAACAATTCAAATGTAACAATTTTAAAAACAAAAGTTTGAAAACGTTTACACTGTCGATCCAGGCTCAGTACTTTCAAATTGGTTTAAGCATAATAAATTTATAATAATTTTATTATTTAGTTCAATTCAAAATACGTATGAATTTTGTTTTGAAAAATCAGCCTTATTATTTGGACGACAGATCATAATCAGTGCTCGCTACGCGTAGGTATCTCTTGCATATTACAAATCGTAACAAATTATGATTACTCTTACGCACTATTTACCAAATATTATTATGATAGGGATTATGATACCTTTTCACAATTATGAAATGTATGTTCGCACTTCAATGGAGTAATGCAGCAGTCATGGATGTCGCGTGTGAATTTTGTATGTCGTAGGGAACTATTACGCATCGTGCATCCAAATTTTCAGGGGCAATTTCGTGAAAACGCCGTTCAGGAAGTCCATGAAGTACTTGCCGATACTTGAGCTGGCCGCCGGTCTCATCTCCTCGATTATCTCTTTGATGTTCTGATTCAGGAACTGATTCATCGCCTGGCCGATCACGTTGTTGCCGTTCAGGTGGTCGTTTATGCGAAATCTGGCTCGACCGAGACTGAAGTCGATTAACAATCGAGAGATTTTCATGTAACGAACACCATTCTTCACTTCCTCGACACCTTGCATACGAGCGATTGCCTTTACGTCACCTGTATTGAAGTGTGAATATGCAAATCAAAAGACCGGTGTGCTTTATTTAATAAGTTGTGCAAACTAGCGTTTATACCTCGCGAGAACTCTTACCGAATAATGCCCAAAAATCGCCGTGACTTTGAATAGGGAAGAGAAGTACGTTCCCGTTGATGTCGTAGCTGCCGTGAATATCGATCTTCGGCAAAGATAGATGTAGATCGAACCTATACGATGATATGTTCACTCGCACTTTGCTGATGCTGTAGTTTCCTGGTCCTATCGTGGTGATGTTAGTGAAAATCGCTCTGACACGCACCGGACCTTGACCGTTCTCCATCTTCAGTTCAGGAATCACCAATGGTTCTATTGGAGGCACATCCAATTCTGGGATACCTATTAAAAATTTCCAATTAGAATTTATTTCCGACTAGTTAACAATTGTTGAGAATAACGGAGGTTCGTTGATTAGTAGGAAAGATATAATAGCAGAAAAGTAACGAGGTTTTATTTGACTCGTTTATTACGAGATTTGTCACAGAATTAATGATAGCAGTTTTTCTAAGCGCCATGCGTGAACATCGGACATTCATATGAATTTATGAAGAAATAATAATAGCTTATTACTTCTTGATTCTATATTACGTATTATTACAGATTATATATCATGAATTAAGAGACGTGGTAGCGCT